ACAAAGTCTTTAGTGCATATGAGAGCGACCGCGAGTTTCAGTTGGTTTACTTCGCCATGATGCCGCTGTACAGGGAAACTTTCGACCCCGATGCAGCGTTGAAGAGCAACCTCGATGGTGTATACGTCGCCGAGTCTCATAGTAAGTAAACTTCAACCGAGTCAATTTGTGAAATGTCTAGACTAATTGACAATCAACTCAGATGATCTCTACTCTGAGAAAGAGAAATACTTTGATTACACTGAACAACTCTCTAGAATTACAGCGAAGACTCTGGTAGTCGTGGGCGGCAAGGATTGGATATGTCCTCCTGGTAGGAACTGTACCAAAATTGTAGAGTAACTTGGTCCACGCTAATCATGAAACGTTGCAGAAAACTCGAAGTTGATTGCTGAAAGAATCCCCGGAGCTAGACTTTTGTTGGTTGAGGGCGCTAATCATGGTGTTCATGCCGAAAAGCCAGAAGTGGTCCTGGGAGAGATTCGCAAGCACTTGGACATCTAGTCTCAACATTCTTGTCAAGCTGCTTTGACTGCCTATCGGCATGGCGCTTCGGTTTTCCGATGAGTTTTATACTTACGAATACCATTGGCAATGAAAGCACGCCTTATGACTTGGCGGACCATAATGCACTTCATTGGGAACATCCTCCATCTTACAAGGGAAATGGGTTAACGTTACTTGGGTACATGCGACTCATTCTCTATAGACGCTAGTGTTATTCATGAATCTTACGTCAACTTTTCACCGGCCTGGTTTTGTTCTCTTTAGTAACGCTATGCCGTACTTCTCTCGTAACCTTGATGATTCGCCGTGTGCTCTCCGCGTCATCGTCATAGTTGCTGTTGTTGCTGTCATTATCCCCCGCTCCCCCAATCACCGTCACTCCTAGGTCCGTTTCGTATATCGGACCCTGTCGTCCCTTTCCCTGTCCAAAGGTCACGAGGTTTGTGTCGCCCGAACGGTTGTAGGGTTCCTGCGTGCTGGTATCCTTGGCCAATCGTTTGAAGAAAGCTCGTAGCATTGGTAGCGAGCCAGCAATGATGCCTAGGCCACATTCGGCGATTGTCCAGAGAACTATGTTACCTGCATGGTCTACACAGTTGCAGGAATGTCAGTGTGCTGCTTTGTACGGATTGTAGCGAAACAATCGGGATGCGCGGGTCTTCTTACACAGAACGTCGCTCGCTTTCATGTACGCATTCGTGAAGGGTACTCGGATAATACTCGCAATGCCAGCTCTACCAATAAAAGTAGTTTGTCAAAGCCTCATGTACACAATCCCTTACGTTTAGCAGAGATCCCAGAATATCACTTACAAGAGACCCAGTCCCAGAATGAGCCGCACGTAGAACTTAAGTCGGGATCGCATTTGCACATGCCGAAGCAGAAAGAACGGAATTGCCGCAACGCTAAAGTCGGTGATGACATTGGCAACGGATGCCCCGTACGAAAGCGCGGTGGCCACGATTGGTGGCCAGCAAGTTCCCGGTATACTCTTGTCCCAGTACCTGTCGAGGGGGTGGCATTGATTCAAGATGACGATTAGGCCGGAGCCGCTCATCAAGAAGGAGAGGCCTATCAATCCTCGCAGGATCCAGAGATAGACCTTCTGATTTGTGATGCGCATTAGGGTGATGCAGATGCTGGACTTGATGAAGCACAGGCTGCCAGCGTAGAAGGCTTGCCAGATCAAGAGTGTCTAGTTTTCGGTTGACCGCATAGATTTAGCAACAATAGGCCTACTAATTTGTATGTAGTAGGTCTTTCCAATGCCATCACAACGTACCTTGTAGCCCTCTATGCTCGTCGCTCGATTCATGGTCTCATCTTTGCTTGCTATGCCAGTAAAAGACCCGTAGATAGCAACAGCGGACTGGCCCAAGTTGACAGACTAAACGAACGGTCTTGCAGTTAGCTTCTTTTCAGCCGACCGGAAAATAGTCGACCTACGAATCCTGTCAACATAGCCCAGTCGTCAGAACCGATTTTGTTCGTCTTGAATCGAATGAACACGCGCATGGCCATGACGATAGTGGTCAGAATCGCCAACGTGACGGTAGTGACTAGGAGCCCCAATGCGAGCCCCTGAGGCTCGACGGCCTGCCACGTATCGTCTCCGGCCACATTGGACATGACGATTCCTCTCCGCCGATTTCGTAGTAGCTGAGCCGGAGACGAAAAAATAGTCTTGGGACGAGTCTCGAAGAGGAATCGATTTCGGTTTCTACATTCTGCGAAGACGCTACTAGTAGTGAAGAGGGTTTCGGAGAAAATGTACAGACAGCAAACCTTGCCACCGAAGCGGAGGTGATGACCGTGGTTCCTCATGGGAGGACCAAAGTTCTCTATTGCACCTAGGTCCCTGACATCCCTGGCATGGACTCGAAGGAGCGTCTTTGCATGTGCGTTGGCCTGATTCGGCTGCGAACCGCGTCAGGTACGAATACGTCAAGCTCGGGTTCAATCAAAAATGTCTGTTGGAGAATTAAACGGATTGGAACACCCCGGCAAATGCACCAGTGTGGGATGTTGGTTGTGTGATAGTATGCGGTACTTGACAGGGACCCTGGACATATGGTATGGGGACGGGAGACGTCAAAGCGAAAGGTTGCATATGGAAACCCAGCACCAACAGTATCTTGGCAAGTCGGCAGCAGGAAACGAGGGGGACTACTCCGCCCGTACGGAGTAGAAAGTACATTTCTTCGTAGTACATTTCTTCGTTCTTACATATACTATGTAATGCATTCTGACTTTCCAGTCAAGGTGTTGAAGGTGTATTGTCTTGTTGAATCATTATCTGTCAAAGTTTATGGATCATGGACTTCGTCTAATTTTCCTGATTGCGATTGTTTCTGACCTTAAACTATCCCCTAAACATGGATAATTTATGCGAGTCGAAGTGCCTGGGCATTGGACGTTCAACAGGATGGATACGCGGCCAGCGGATGGTCTGACCCAGTACCCGCCCGCATCACCCCCGTTGACAGCTGAGCCGGGGATATATGCAGGAACGCGGGGTTAAAGCAAGTTGTCGTCTTGAAGATAACTAGAGTCGGGGTCCTGGTCGTTGACCGCCCATCCTTCTGAAAAGTCCGTCCGTCTTGACCTTCCTGAGCATATCTGAAAAAGGGCCCCTGAGCGAAGATCCTCATCCTATAAGACCATCCAGCAATGGTTTTGATGTCACCTAGCAAGTCATGTCATTGAACCCCCTTTTTCTTCCTTTTTCCTGATCTTTGAAACCGACTTTTGTGCCAGGGAGCATATCATTGTGAAAATCTGATTTATCAACAGCGCAAGCGTGTCAGAAACACACCTGGAATCTATACCATCAAGCTTGCACTTTGACCACTTATCATGGCCATCGAATACGAGGTCAAGGGAAAGGTAGCCCTGGTTACAGGAGCTGGATCTGGTAAGTAGTCTCCATCTCTACTAGACCTTCAATGACGATACCCTTGGGTATTGATCGAAGATATCTCGATCACCGGCTTGCACGATATTCATGATTCTTCTAGGCATCGGTCTAGCCATCACCCAGCGCCTTCTCAACGAAGGCTGCTCGGTAATGATCGCAGACCTCGCCCTCCGCCCAGAAGCCGAGACCACCATCGCAAACTTCCCCCATCCGTCTCCATCCGCAGACAAGCCCTCAGCCGCCTTCCACAAGACAGACACGACAAACTGGGCCCAACTCAAATCTCTCTGGGCGGCAACCCTCGAAAAGTTTGGCCGGGTCGACATCGTCGTTAATAACGCCGGTATCTTTGAGCCGCCCTGGTCGTCCTTCTGGAACCCGCCCGGCGTCTCGCCTGAATCAAAGGATGATGCGGACGCTGAGGTGGGATCGTACCACATCTTCAATGTGGACACCATCGGCCCCATCCGGCTGGCGCAAATCGCTATCGACTACTGGCTACAGAACCGCGAGGTCAAGGGGAATCTGCTTTGGGTGTCGAGTATGGGCGGCTACATCCACTCCATCCAGACGCCGTTTTACTTTGCTAGCAAGGCGGCTGTTCTCAGTGTCGTCAAGTCGCTTCAGGGGTTGAAGAAGTTGGTGGGGATCAGGAACTCTGTTATCTGTCCTGGACCTACGAGGGTACGTGAATCTTGGAAGTCCACACGCCTGTTCACATAACCACAAAGACTGACATGAGCGCAGACGCCCCTGTTTGACCAAGAATTCTGCCGCGACCGCTTGCCAGCTGAAGATCTCGCCCTATCGTCTGAGAACCTTGCCAACGCAATGTTCTCGCTGTTGACGGAGGAGCAGTATGGCAACGGCAACGTGCTCGAAATCATGATGGTTGGCAGCAAAGAGGAGCCCAAGATCCATACTAAGGAGGTGCAACTGGAATCTCTGTACCCGACGGCTAGCCCCATGGGTGCGGGCACCAAGGCCATGGAGGCAGAGCTAAACTTTATGGGGATGATCGCTGAGAAGGGGATGCGGTCTAGTTGCTAAGTAGGTCACAGGCGCTAGTGTAGATAGGTTAACAATGTCAAGGCTATCCGTACATTTTCGAAGTGATTTTGAGGGATCACAGGCTGTTTTCCACGCCCTCAATTCTTAGGTTGGATCGAGAATGACTGTAACGGCATTTTGATACTCCGTAGGAGACTTACTCCCTGGCCCCCTTCCTAAGAGCGTTCATGGGTTTCTCCCTACTACCAACCAGCGCTTACAAGCTCCGGGGACTTGACGGGCTGCTCCGTTCTATGTACTGCCCGCGCAAGGCCCCCCTTGCCTAGCGGTGGATATTCCACGGTTCAGGATGCGGAACAAGAAGCCGTTCTTATCATGAGGAGTGACCCAAAGAAGCCCAGGCAACGTCCAATTTGGAAGCCATAGGGCCATGCCAGAATAGCCGAACGTGACTTCGGGATCGAAGATGCCAATGAAATCGAACTTTATTCGTCGCTCTAACACATTAAGGTATCTAGGTACTAATAAAAGTAACACAAGCAGCCGGCTACAAGACAGGATCGTATCAGAGAAATCCCAATTCCAATGACCCCCAGCCATAGTCCATGGCCGATTCATCATTCCCTACCGCCGCCGAATGGCGCGTAGGCCCCGTGGGCGAAAACGCAGTCTGGCCCCTAAACCCCGCCGGCGCTGAAGCCTGCCCGCCACAATCGTCCGGGAACTCGTGAAAGGCATAACACGTCGACCGGCCGAGGACCTCCTGCATCAACGCGACGAGCCGCGTGATGAGTGGCCGCACCATTGCCTGGTACGATTCTCTAGACGAAAACTGGCCGCTGCTGCTGCTGCCGCCGTAAACATTGTTGTTCCCGGGAAAGTGTAGAGTCGTGTAGCCGTTATTGGGCACCCCTGAGATGAGACCCATGAACTGCCGAAATACCTGGGCGGCTTGGCGCGCCTGGTTCCAGCCCTCGGGGAAGGCCTCGAGGATGCTGACGATGACGGCGACCTCGTCGCGGGCGGAGAAGGACGTGCATTCTGCGGCGCAGGCGATGAAGCTGTGGATCAAGACCAGACCGACGGGGAAGAGGCGGCACAGGGTGACCCGGTTCAAGGGGAGCTGGCGCTGCTGGAGGAGAACCGAGGTTGACTGGAGATGCTTCTGGGCGAAGCGCAGCAGCTCGACGGCGGAGACGATGGTGCCGCACGAGTTGAAGTGGCAGGGGTAGTGGAGGAGGAGGAGAAGGTGGTAGTACCGCGCGCTGAGCCAGGTGACTGAGTTGTGGATGGGGACGTTGTCTGGTTCCAGTGGGGAGACGAGGCACCCGTTGCTGTACCAGTTCTCAATCTCGGAGCGGATGTTCTGCACTATGGCGCGCCTGTCTGCTTGCGAGAGTGCGGCGACCTCGTGTTGTTTGCGAGTGTGGATCTGCTTGAGGATGCGGTCTTCAAGCTGCCTGAGCTGGATGACGTGGCGATTTGTTTGGAGGATGGAAGCGAAGTGTTGACGGCCTGGGGAAGCAAACTCTTCGATTGTAAGGCCTGGCAGCGGGACGTCGACGTTCTCGTCGATGAGGGCCACGGGGAGACCTAGAGAGATGGCCATCATCCGGTCCAAGACGTAGATACTCCAGAATAAGCGATGGCGTAGCTCAATGTCCATGGCGGAGAGATTCTTGTCTTCGGAGGATCTCCTACTCAATCCGAGGAGCATGGCTTGGCGGGAAACGATGCCTGCTATAGACCACGTTGAGATGCCCTTTGGGTCGAAGAGTGAATACAGTGCCACCAAGACGAGGATCTGGATCGACTCGAGGTCTTCTCTCACGAGACACTCCTGAATGATGTCGGCGTAGGCTACGTCGAACTTGGAGGCCGTGTCGTTGGGTATTTGGCCGGCGCGCTGCAAGGTTGTGCATCCAATCGCCATGATAAGATAGAGCAGCGTAGAGTCGGCATCTCTACGTCGCTTAGAAGATTCGCCTAGTGACTCGAGGTCTCGCAAGACCTTAGTCCTATTGACGAATGGGTAAGCCCGGTTGACGTTCCGGAAGTAGGCGTCAACGAATCTCCTCGCAATAGCGTCGCGAGGCAGGCTCGAGGATGTGAAGCCTTCTCCATCGCGAAGGCTCTCGATGCCAAGGATCCTTCCGGGCTCTGGCGCTGGCTGGAGCAGAGCTCGCATGTGATCATGGCCCCTTGACGACGATGATTCCGTGTCTACGTTAACCGCAAGACTTCTTTGATCAAAGAGGATCGGGCCCGATGTGCCAAGCGGTTGCTGATGTACGGCAAATGTGTCCCGCGGTTCCGCGCGGTTACTCTCTGCACTGATAATAGACCCGGGCGTAGCTCCATTCGCCGCTGGCGTGGCCGGAAGAATGTCCATCGCCTGACCCACGGCCGTGATCGTAGTAGCCGCCGGCGAGGATCCCAACACGGAGGCAATATCTGTGCCCGTGTCAAGGCTCTCTACGCCAGGGGCGCCGGCGACGGGCAAGTTCTCGTTGATGAAGCGCGAGAGCCATTCTATCCGAGCGCGCAGATGGTGCGTCTGGGCAGCTGTAGAGGCGGCGGGAGTGGAGAAAGAACACTTGTGTCCCGCGTTGGCACATAGGGTGCAGATGGGAAACGTGCGACTGCACTTCTTCTTGAAGCTGCGGCAGCGATCACAGGCGGGGATATCACGGGCGACCTTTGGCGATGATGCCGAGATGGGTGATGGCACCGCTCCTGCTGCTGCTACTACTGCTGATGCCGATGCTGCTCCGGAGGTGGAGATGTTGGCAGCAGCCGCACCTGCGGTAGGACTTTGACCTGTCAGCGCCGGTGAGATTGGACCTGACGGCGGCGCTGGGGCCGAGCCCGAGACTGACGCCGCGACGGCTGCTGCTGCTACCGCTGACGATGAGACATCGGGGACGGCATCCGGAGGGCCCGGGTGGACTGCTGAGGACGGTGTCTGGGGCGGCAGTGGAGGGCGTATGGCGGGAGGAGAAGCCGAGCGGCGCAGGGCTGGCGAGGATGGGGAAGTCTGTCGGACGCGAAAGCGATGAATATTTGATCTGATGTGTTCGGGCGACATTGCGACGGTGCGACAATGCCAAATGGGATAGGGGGGACTGGGCGACGGCGAGACGCCGACGTGAGAGCGCCCGTTTCGTGTCGGGGCTGTCGGAGACTGGACTTTTGGGGGACGTTTCTTCGCTGGACACGTCGCATACACAACCGGTTGGTCGGCCGGGAGTGGGAGTGTGGGATGGGGGATCCTTTTTCGAACAGAAGCGAGACTGGAACTGAGTCGGGAACCTCTCCGCTTGTTGTTACCTTGCTTCACTTGCTCAATGGATCGTCATCTGCAGGGCAGAGGCAGAGTTCTTCAGCGGCTGTGCGGTTCCATGGCTACGGGTCGCGTAGTTTGATGGCAATCGTTTGTCGAGTGGTATTTGATTTTCTTGCAAAGAGAAGAAGAGTAAAAATTCTCTTCTCTCCCCTCCCCAGCGTTGCAACGAGGCTGTCCTGCCTTACTACACACTACCCGTACCTAGGTACGTGTACGCACTATCTCTTGTTCTGCCCAGGTCGCTCTCCGCGCAGATCCGATAGCCATCCAGTCACTAAGTCTGGTACTGGGAACCATGAAGCGGCTGGCAAGACGGATAGAAACACCAGGAGTACGGCACAAAAGTACCACAGTACCAGACAGTTGCCGATGGTGAAAGAGCACGACTCAAGCGGGCGTTCAGCACGCCATTACCGCGGTCTGTTCAGGGGCGACGAATGAGGAGTCTGCTTAGAGCGATTCTTCTGGTTTAGTCGGCCCAATTTGGACCCGCTGTCGGGGATCCGTCATTCGGAGTTAATATTTCCTGATAATTTTGTTTTTGTGTTGAGGGGGAGGAACCGAGGAAGAGAGAGTGGGAGATAAGGGGCCCGCCAGCAGTTGGGGTGTGCTGCTACATTTTGATAGTCGGCAACTGAGAACTTCTACTAAAGCATCAACAACTTGGAAGCAAAGACAGTGTGACGGAGTCGAGAAAAATGGAGAAAGGTTAGTCAGATGCGTACAGCAACTACTTTGCGATGACTTGCATGGGAAAGAAATGTTCATCCCAAACTGTCAGACTCTTCCAAGCGCTTATGGTCTCCCCCCACCCGTCCAACATGTCCCAGACACGCACAAATGGCGCTGGCGCTGGCGCTGGCGCTGGCGCTGGCGTGGTCGGGCCAAGGCCGACTCGCGCTGGCAGTCATTGCTTTTGCTGCGACTCAGTGGGCCGTTCGTCCGACCAGCAGAAGCATATCGCCGAACCTAGGTTCGTCTGTAGTCCTGTACGGATACTCTCGTCAGGAATCTTAAAGTCCAAGAGTGTGAATCGCGTGATGCTCATGCGGAGCATCAAGCACAAATCGCTCAGAGTTGCCTGTCACTCTTTCCATAAAGCCGAGTCTTCTTTTCATCGTTATCGTCCGACAGTCTCATCAGTGGTGCTACACAGATACCCCTCCCTACTGTCGCTTCCTCGCTTCTCTACAACCCCTCGTCGCATCCAGACCCGGCCAGACTCCGCCGCCATCATGTCGCCCATGTACCTTGAAGACAAACTCAACATCGACCGGGTCGCCGTTATCGGCGCCGGGCCGTGCGGCCTGTCCGCCGCAAAGTAAGCCCGCCGATCCGGCCCCAGGCGACGAGTCCCACGCCTTATACATACTTACTTTATTCGCACTCCAATAGGTACTTGCTAGCGGAGAAGAAGTTCTCCAAAGTCCAGATATTCGAACAGAGGGATACCGTCGGCGGCGTCTGGACATACAGCCCCTTGAACGTCATTGACGGTGACTTCAGCATCCCCAGGACACAACCGACCAAGAACCCGGACACGGCCATTGCCGTTGAGGGACACGATGCCAAGCAATTCGTCTCTCCAGTGTATGATTACTTGGAGACGAATATCCCCCACACACTCATGAACTACTCGGATAAAAAGTTCCCCTCAGATGCCTCGCTTTTCCCTCCTCACCAAACAGTGAAGAAGTATCTGGAAGACTATGCCGAGGAGCTGAAGCACATCATCTCTCTGTCGACGCAGATCCTCTCCGTCAGAAAGTCTTCGGGTGGCAGTGAAGTTTATTGGGAAATTGAAAGTCTGAACCTCAAGACAAATGAGACCAACAAGGCGCAATTTGACGCTGTCTTCGTCGCGAGCGGACACTACAATGATCCCTTCATCCCAGACATCCCTGGCCTTGCCGAGTTTGACAAAGCACACCCAGGCTCAATTTCCCACTCCAAATTCTACAGGAATGCCGAGCAGTATAAGGGAAAAGTGAGATGAACCATGCCCGCAACTCCTTAACCTGACCAAAGTCACTCACACTCATTACAGAAAGTCATCATCGTCGGCAACTCAGCTTCAGGCATCGACCTAAGCGCCCAAATCTCAACAGTCTGCGCTCTCCCCATCATCGTCTCTGAGAAGACCGTCCCCAACACCCCCGCAGAAGACCGCTCATCCTGGGCTAAACCCGTCCCCGAGATTCTCGAATTCATCTCCGAAAACAGACAAGTCCGCTTCGCCAACGGCGAGACCGAATCCGAAGTTGACGGCGTCGTCTTTTGCACGGGTTACTTCTACAGCTTCCCTTTCATCCGCGACCTCTCCCCTCCTGTAGTAACGGATGGCGCCTACGCGCGGAATCTGTACGAGCATCTCCTCTACATTGACGACCCGACGCTTGCGTTCGCGGGCATCCCGCAGCGCATCGTGCCGTTCCCCGTGTCGGAGGGCCAGGCTGCGTACGTTGCACGCGCATGGGCGGATCGTCTGCGTCTGCCGAGTCGCGGCGAGATGAGAGAGTGGGAGGCGCGGATACTCAAGGACAAGGGCGAGAGTAAGATGCTGCATAACTTGGCGTTTCCCAAGGATCTGGAGTACATCAATATGTTCCACGCCCGGAGCCTGGAGGCGGAGAAGAGAGAGGGTCTGGAGAATGATGGTGTGGGAAAGACACCGCCGTACTGGGATGATGAGAAGCGGTGGACGAGGGAGCGGTTCCCTTTGATCAAGATTGCTTCAAGGAAATTAGGAGAGCGAAGGCATGAGATTACGACGTTGGAGGAGCTTGGGTTTGATTACAAGGCTTGGAAAGCTGGGCTAAATGAGGAGGAAAAGTTGCTGTGAGCATTGCTCCCTTATGGCTTATCCATTTCTTCCCTCTCCGTTTTCTGTATAGATCTTAGAAGGAGCTGGGATAGAGAAAGACTGGAGATGTATACGCTGACGCCATCTGGCAGTTGATAGCTACGTTCTCTCGTGTGTGTGTGTGTGTGAGAGAGAGAGAGAGAGAGTATGAGAACTTATCCCATCAGGCTGACTACTACTCATGGTGCATATCAGTCATCAACCTCTACATGTAGTGTCTAGTTCAATGCATCTCTTCTAGTTCACTATACCAACTTGAGGGTGATTTTCTTCGAACGCCTCGAAATGTTAACACCTCTACCGATGCCACCAAATCAGCGTACAGTAAGCCCAGATGAAGAATGGCGAGGTCCTAGAATCTACTTGGTATAGGCGCTATGGAGGAGAAATTGGTATACAACGAGCTTACAAACTTGGACTCGTGAGCGCAAAGCTGACAAATGGCCTTCATCCCAAACTACACCTGCTGGCTGCCCGCGCGCCACGAGCGCTCGGAGTTCCGAACCGCGCGGGATTGATGCAGCTTCCCCGCTCTGGGAAGCTGGAGAAGTCTATTTTTACGTCACGTTCACCTACTTCGTGGAAGCACATCTACTCCCTTGATATGCTTCCTAACAAAGCAATCCATCCGCTAATAGCAGGCCCCTCATCACGCCACATAATATCAGCGCAGTTAAAATCCCACCGGCTCCAAGTTGTATCAACCCATCAAAAGTATATGAGATCTGGTATCGCACACTTACCGACTTGCAAAGGTCCGACCTGCTTTCTATCATAAAAGTACAAAGCTATTACCTCAACACACAACTAATATGAGTGAAGAGGTGCGGTTGCATACACCTATGAATACCAAAAGCATGCATATTAACCCCTTCATTACAGAAAGACCCCATCCGGTACCAGCCCGGAAAAGGCGGAGGTTTCGAGCGCACTGAGGCCCAGTTCCGCAACTTCATCGCGAATGATGCCAACGCCAAATTCGCAGCTGAGAAGGGTCGCTATGCTCTCTACGTCAGCCCCGGGTGTCCTTGGGTAAGCCCTCATGTACATCAAAGCGAATGCCCCGCTAACAAAACGCAGTGCCACCGCGTCATGATCGTTCGGGCCCTCAAACGCCTCGAGGACGTCGTAGACCTCTACGTCGCAGATATGGGCATGGGCAAAGAAGGTTGGCACTTCACAGATAGCCCCGAGGCAGCGAAATTCGGCGTTCTTCCGCGCGACCCCGTCTACGGCTTCATGACGATCAAGGAGCTCTACCTCAAAGCAAGTCCCGGCTACGATGGCCGTGTCACGGTGCCTGTCCTCTGGGATAAGAAGTTGCATACTCTCGTCAGCAACGAGTCTAGCGAGATTATCCGTATGCTCTACACCGAGTTCGATCACCTCCTTCCCGAGGTGGACCGCGAGGAGAGTCGACCCGGCGGCGGCCTGTACCCTAAGGAGAAGCGTAAGGAAATTGATGAGATCAATGAGTGGGTGTATCACACGATCAACAACGGTGTTTACAAAAGTGGTTTTGCGTTCACGCAGTCCGCTTACGAGGAGAACGTCGACGCCTTGTTTAAATCTCTAGATCGTCTGGAGGATATTCTCGAGGACCGGCCTTTCCTGACCGGCGATCACATTACTGAGGCTGATGTCCGCCTGTTTCCAACGATTGCCCGGTTTGACATTGCATATGTCCCGATTTTTATGTGTAATTTGGGCACGATCCGGAACGATTACCCGAATCTGCACCTTTGGTTCAGGAGGTTATACTGGGACCAGAGTGAGAGGACGCACGGCGCGTTCTTCAGTACGACGGATACGTGGGTGTCGAGGTTCAAGGAGGGATATGGCGGTGCTAGGACGAGGGTCTTGGGAATTACCGGGCCCCTTATAATTCCAAAGGGCCCTCGCGTTTTGGTTCACGAGCTCAAGGAGGAGGAAAGGCTTAAGTGACTGTAGTTTTCTTGGTTGCGAGGTCTGAACTTCACAACCAACTGAGGTCGTATACAGTTCAAGGTAGTCAAGCTATGACGGTAATACCTGCCTGTTGCAACAACTCAAGAAACCGGCTACATCTCAATTGGCCGCCATCAATCATTTTTACTATGATGTACTTGACTGCATTTAATCTTATCAGGTCCCTCAACACAGGTCTATCCTGGGCCAAGCTTCTCGGCATTCCAAAAATTTCCGAAATGTGCAATACACTATTGCCGGGCAAAGACAGTAGTCAGCCAAGAAAATAGGCAGAATCAGTGGCTGCGGCGGTGTAAGTGAGGTAGGGGCTGTGACCCATCAGCACGCACTGCTGCTTGGCGACAGGGTCGCTGATCCTAACAGCAAAGCATGTCCCAACGAATCAGAGTGGTGAGGAATGTGAACAAACATCAATATCGTCTGGCCACATTTTGCCACTGCCTGACTTGGTTCAGCCTTCTGGGGCAGAGCGTTTCGCCCGATTTGAGGCAATCAATCCATTGAAGAGAGCTTCACCTGAGTCTACCAGTGTTAGACAGTCAGCCTTGGAAGGCTTTTCCGTTATTATATTAATGGCAATAAGACGAACTAGACTGTAAGTGCGCTTGTTTGTACTTGAAAACGTAGATCCGCCATCTTTCTACTATCGCTGATTACACATTCTGCGGCTGCCATTAAACCTACAAGAGCTTACAGCGGATTTGACGAGACCAGATAGGTCTGAAATATCTCTGAAACATTGCGCCGCGCGAAGATCATCAGATTACTTAATAATTCTAATGCCTCCCATTTCGAAAAGCGGAAACTCAATAGCCGCTCTCAGCATCTTCAAGACATTCGAAATTCGAATAGCTCATACAACCTCAATTACCTCGAGGTACCATACCAAACGAGAAATCGGCGACGATTACAAGACCCACATACGTCCAGGCCCAATTGCAGGCATCTCTCTAATTGCCATAGTGTTCGTCTTTCTCATACTTGTCGTCTGGGGCAGGCAAAGAGCCAGGGCTAGAGAGGAAGCCACTATGCATAGGTACAACGATTATGTCAGCAACGTCGTGGCTCTCGAGGACCAGCAGAGAGACATCAGGAATGGGGGCTATGCCTATGGTCGAGGCTATTTTCCAGGGCCACAGTATACCGCAGCCGATGATGATGGCAGTGAGCGTGCTCGACGCCTGATAAAACCGCTTCCACCGTTCCCTGGCAAAGCTGGCAGATCCCAACAGCAGTCATGACTTTGATGGGCTCAAGATATTCAGGCAGGGGCATGGGTGTTTTTGAGATTCTCTTCTATCTATGAAACAAAGCCTCAATTTCTACATCAACACAAATCAATCAAGTAAACCTAGGTGGAGAGAAGCCGTGCCTTTGGGCAAAACATAGTATGTAAGATCATATGCACTGTCGTCGGGCGCGCCCGAGCCCTCTGCGTGTAAAGACTTACAGTATGTCTCTTGCTTCTTGCCGTTGCATCGCCCTTTGATGACGGAAAATAGAAGATTCTTTTATCAAAATATTCGCTCAGAGCCGGGCAGGCACCAATCTTCGGGGTTTCTGGGGACGAAGGGATGCTACTGGGCTGTCATAGGTATCACAATCAGCTCCCCCGAGGAGCGATGTGGAGTCAACGATTATCTTCGTCGGCAATTCTGACCAGTCATCGACGACATCTCATCGGCGTCCGGGTTCCAATATCACGACCATCTGAGCGCAACATGTCGCAATCATGCTCCAGCGTCCTTATGAGAAGGAATCAAGGTCAGCAAGGCACAAATCAGTTCTGTGCTGGGCAGACCTGAATTTCCATAAAAGCTGGCCTCCCTTCCGCATGTCCAAGTTACGAGGTTCGTCCTGTTCATCAAACGGCAGAAAGGATTGTCTCATCTCAGGTCTACCAAGCCAACATGAACATTCGTATCCTTCCTTTAACATCTCAATTTGTTCCCAACATGGCCACCATTGCCCCGGAGATCGCTGGTGCAATGGATAAATCCATCAGCGATGCCAAAACCTTGCTGAGAGAGGTCGACTTAGACGTGAGTAGTCCCAAGCACCGCCGTTTGTGTCCCGCAAAGGGACGTCAGCACAAACTTGTCCAAGCTGATCCAGGCTTCGACGTTCTAGATATTCCATCATCCGGAACTCAACTATCAAGAGTTTCACGCGCACGATGCTCTCGTCGAAGTACTCAAGAAGCTTGGTTTCAAAGTCACCCCTCACGCATACGGAATTCCTACATCTCTGGAGGCAGACTACGGAGAAGGCGGCCGTCTCGTCGTCTTCAACGCCGAGTACGACGCGCTCCCTGAAATCGGCCACGCCTGCGGCCACAACCTCATCGCCACCGCATCCCTAGCTGGCTTCATCGCCACAGTTGCCGCCCTGAAGGCGTCCGGCAAGCCTGGACGCGTTAGACTTCTAGGCACTCCGGCCGAAGAAGGTGGTTGCGGCAAGGGCATGCTCGTAGGCAAAGGAGCATACGACGGCGTCGCAGCCTGCGTGATGGCTCACCCGGCCCCAATGTTCACCTACGGTAACGAAGGGCGACACGGTGACGTATTTGTCAATCACGTCTCTGCCACCGCCTTCAGAATCAAGTTCAAGGGCAAGGCTGCGCACGCCGCCGCCTCGCCTTGGGAGGGCGTGAATGCTCTCGATGCTGCTGTCCTCGGCTACAACGGCGTCAGCATGATGAGGCAGCAGATGACGAAGGATTCCACCGTCCATGGCATCTTCACTGACGCCGGCGTCAAGAGCAACATCATTCCCGACTTTGCTGCCGTTGACTATACCGTGCGCGCGCCAACCATTGAGAAGACCAAGGAGCTGCGAGACCGCGTCATTGCGAATTACCGCGCTGGCGCCATCGCCACGGGCTGCGAGATGAAGGTCGAGTACGATGTCTTTTACGCTCCCTTGCGCCCGAACAAGCAGCTTTCTCTGGTGTTTGCGGACGCTGCGGCAGACTTGGGCATTCCCATGTGGTGCGACGTGGACACCAAGGAGGTCATCTCTGGGGCTACCGACCAAGGGAACGTTGGCTGTGTTGTGCCTGTCATCCATCCTATCTACGGGATTGAGGCCAAGGAAGGGCAGAGTAACCACACTGCCGGCTTCACGGAAGCTGCCGGAGCCGAATCGGCACACGAACGAAGTCTTATTATTGCCAAGGCTCTGGCGAGGTCCGCATGGGCTGTCTTGACCGACGATGAGGTGGCATCCAAAGTTCAGCGTGAGTTCGAAGAAACTGTATCGGAGAGGAGGTTGAAGATTTCTCTTGAGGAGGAGATGTCTCTTATCACGAAAGACTCCTCTCAGATGAGCACACCTGTTAAGAAACTTTGCTCTTGTGGCAACGGAGTTTGAGCCATAGTTGTTTGATAGCTAGGCCAGCAAACCGAGATTCCGCTCTCTGCCTTCCTTGAGCAACATAGCATAGCTGCTATTACCAAGCTTTTGTACCAACCAATCCCGATGAACCGCGTCGTCTGTTTGCCTCGCCATGATGAAGACAGCCCATTGGTTCCGCCACATGAACGGTCTCTCTGGCCTCTGTGTAACCATCCGGAAAATCACCCGGAGGAGATCGTCTTGGGCGACGGCAAGATCTTGTTGAAGCGATTCGGATGGTGAAGCAGAGGCCATGGCAATGAGGACACTGACGAGGACAGCATGGAAATGGATAACGATGCTGTAGGACGCTGTGATCAACTTTGCATCGGCTGGATTGGGGGCTTCTGCCAAGCGAAATATGGCCGAATATTCCTGCTCAGCCCCTCGGAAGTCAGCCGCTGTTATTGGCCAGTCCTACATGGGGTCTGCAAGATGTAAAGGGATATAGGAAAGACTATTGTCTTACCTCTCGTAGACGATGTAGCGTAGTCACTATGCCGTTCAACTCGTCTTCGTCAATAATGGATGCTTGGGCCCGATGCAATCGATCGAGACAAATGTTTGCGAAAAAGTGAAGCTCCAAGGGCTTTGATCGCTCTACATCATCCATCAACTCCTCGCAAGGATACAGCGACCCGAAGTAATCAGCGTGGACATTCCGGGAACAGGCAAACAGGGAGCGCGATGCACCATCGCCGGAGAGTACCAGGCGAGAAACGTTGCCTCCAATGCCGCAATATTCAGAGTCCAGGTCCTCATACGCTATGAAGAGCAGGAGACTCGCGACAAGACTCCTGTTCGCAGGCAGAGCCAGAGGAGAAGAGACCGAATCAACAGCGGATTTCTCTTCAGGAGATGTGCTGCTAGAGAGATCCCGGAGTGGGGACTCCTCGGCATCGAAGAGGTTCAGAAGACGATGCTTGCGGACGTAGTCTGCTACTGCAGAGCTGAGCTTCTCCATAGCCCGACGACATTTATCATCCCAGATCGCACGGTACGTGAGTTGCAACAGCCAAAAGGCCATCAAAGTCTTTGTATGATCACAAATCGGCTCTTGCATTCCGTCGACAAAGCTATTGGTTCCCATTGTGAAATGAGACTTGGCCGTGGCCAACACTGAACGGTTCGGGTGGTTCCGGGCAACGGTGCCAAGGCATGACGCCAGCAGCAAATGCATGACCGTGGCGTCGTCGTAGGCATGATGAAGCAGGATGGCCAACTTGGACCATAAGAAGGTCTTGGGACTACACTTTGAGAAGACGTTCTCGAAGAAATAGAGAGCGTCCTGCTCCAAGGGGCCAAAGAGAATCGAGCACCGGGATGGTATATGTCCAGTGCTCAGCAGTGCTTGAGGTGATGCCACTATATTCTGATTAAATATAACATTCAAGGCCATGCGTTTGTCGTAGTGAGCTGCGTGATTTAGAACCGGATCAGTCGTAGTTGTCGACTCGTTTTCTTTCACCGACGTCGTTGAGGGACTCCCTCCCAAATCAAGGGGACTTTTGTCGCTTTCGGCCCTTTGCTGGACAGTGTTTTTAGATAATTCCTCCGAGGGCAAGATTGGAGGAGGCATG